AATGAAGATACTTTTTACTATTTGAATTATTTCAAATTACTAAAAATTTGAATATTGTTGAACAGTCATGGGCATTTGAGAGATTTTGCAAAGCTTTACTGTTTTCCCTAACTTTACCGCCAGCTTTATTTGAGTTTTACAGTGTATGCCCGAATATTTCACTACAAATCTTAGTAACTCTAAAGGGTTGGAAACAAGGTTAGAATTACGATTAACGCAAAACAAACTCTGTACAAAATTTCTCTATTGTATAAAAAAAATTGTTTTATGAGATTATTCTCAAAAAATTTATATGTTTCTTTCACTATATAGGTTATTTAAGAATTTTAAAATAAATTAATATTACAAAGCGTATTAATTTATATCATATTATAGTCATTGTCAACATTCGCGTATTGTTCACAGTTTATTTAATCCACGAGGCATAATGTGCACTATTAAACGTTTATGTTTGTCATTCTGCTTTTAATAATTTTGGCTATTAAGCAAAAGAAATCAGTAGACTACTTCATGTGGCGAGTATTACGGTTTTCTAGTGGTAATAAAAACAGTGCAAAACATTTGTTAGGAAACGAGGAATATTTGCCTGTTCAACAAAGTGCGCTGTAATCATGCGCAATAATTGTGACTATGCATCAATTTTGTGGCAGGTAGATTGGAATGAAATATTTCGTCGAAAACCGAATAAATATCACACCATCTTATTTATTTTTATTGTTTGCATTATTAAATTTGATTTTTATTAAATATGACCTTTTTATTTATGGCATCATTCTGCAATAACATTTTCCAATGGTGTCATAGCAATCCTTGAAATTAGAAAATTAAAGTTCATGCAAAGAGGTTTCCATAATCGCATCTTTTAATGCACATTTTATAAAATCTTTCCAAAAGTAATGATCAAAAAATATACAAATTACAAGTTCCAAACGTCATTAACGTGAGAACAAAAACTTCATAAAAAAAAAAATCTGACGTTTCATTTACAAAGTCACGCATATTGAAAGTGGCATTAAAAGTATCAAAACAAGTTTGTTTTATCGGATTAACCACTTTTCATTTTCTTTCAAAGGGATTTCGATAAAGTATACGTTACAAGCAGCGATTACGGCCACCCAATAACAGATTCTATAAATTAATATTACTGTAACAACCAGCTTCATAAACAAAGACTGTTTTTGCACTTTCGGTATTCTTAATACTAGTTTCCTCTCTTTACTTTCTCCACTTGACTTTTATAACAAATATCTCCGGGTTTATATTGTTTATTACACGAGTTAATATATTAACAACCATATCTTACGTTGCTTATCGCCTAGTCACGCCAGATCTAAGAATCCGTTGATATTCAAAAAAATCATATGCAAGAATAGATGTATAAATTTCCTCCCATAGGAATCCCAAACAGTCCAATATACTAATGACTCCTCATATTTTATGTTGTTATATTTTTAACTGTCATAACACCTTATCGTGTGATATTATTATAACATCTACTGAAAAGAGGGAAATAGCTTTCTTGAATTCATATAACTGATTTGCTTTATTTTACTTCCTCTCCTATTATTGCTAGAAATATCTTCCAACTGCCAAACTATTCATTCCAATTGCTATATGTTTGGCTACTAGTACTTTACTGTTAGTATGATTCATTACATATTTTTGGTTACTTTATTTCGGTTATCTTTTTAGTTAGAATATGTTGTTTGTTATTGTTAAATTGCTACATGCCACACAATTCATTCCATTTGCAATGCTACTGTTAGTACGATTCGTTACATATTTTTGGTTACTTCTGTTTGGTTATCTTTTTAGTTATAATATGTTGTTTGGTATTATTAAAGTGCTATAACTCGAAATATTCATTCCAATAGCTGTATGTTTAGCTACTAGTTCTTTACTGTTAGTATGATTCATTGCATATTTTTGGTTATCTTTTTAGTTATAATATGTTGTTTGTTATTGTTAAATTGCTACATGCCACACAATTCATTCCATTTGCTATACTACTGTTAGTACGATTCGTTACATATTTTTGGTTACTTTTGTTTGGTTTTCTTTTTAGTTATAATATGTGTTTGGTATTATTAAATTTCTATAACTCGAACAGTAGATTACTAGTAGCTAAACATATAGCAATTCCAATTGCTATATGTTTGGCTACTAGTAATCTACTGTTTGTACGATTCATTACATATATTTGGTTACTTCGGTTTGGTTATCTTTTCAGTTATAATATGTTGTTTGGTATTGTTGAATCCATTTATTTCATCCCTCTTTTACATTCTTTTCAGGTAATCATGAGTTTTGAATAACCTTTTTTTCCTCTCGCTCCTCTTCACTTCTTCTTTTTAGCATAACCGCAAACGATTCTTGTGTCATCTCATTCTATTTTTTTTACATATTTTGATAGCAAACATATGGAAGAGCACCGTATTTTAAACTTAATTCGCTGAAAGATTCAGCTTAAGCTAAAAGCTTAAAATTCAGGCTTATTTCTATTGTCAGGGTATTATAAGCGAAAAAAATTTTAATTATATTTTTATAAAACAGCCTTTTAATGTTCCAAAACACAATACCTTCACTTTTAATCTGATTCTTTTGAAAATTTCTCAATACCTATACGACTGATATTTTTTTTAACTAACAGTTTTTAATTAATTTAATGTTAAACCTCAAATTTTAGGACATTTTTTGTTTAATATGCCATTATTTCACGACATTTTTAAAAACAACAGAATTGCAAAATAGTTTTTTAAAAAAAGTATACAAAAACTACATCATAAAATTTTAACTGTTGAGTTTTAAATTAAATCGATAAAATATTCTGGGATGTCTTTCTTAGTGTCTGCTGTTTTCAGATTTCTTAAAAATAGGTCTTACATTATCAGCCATGAGAGAGTTACGGTTAACATAACCTGATTTTATTAACTAATTTAAATTTAATTCGAAATATGTTAAAAAATGACAAAATAACTCCATTTATATTTTTTTTATTATGCGGTCCTAAAATTCACTGAGAAAAGTTTGCCTTTTTTGAGCAATGACAGTGTTATTCTTTAATAAATCTTAAAGGTGCTTATTTCCGATTTTCGTTTCTTTAAAGCCCTTAAAGGTGCTTTTTTCATTGGGTGTTTTTAAAAAGTGCTTAATTTTCCTTCTTTCAAAATAAGACTTTTCCTTTACTATGTTGATTTTCATTTCGAATTATGCAAAAACACACAAGTCACATTATTTTATTCAACGTTTTCACAATTCAACCCCAATCTATTTCGGCGTATTGTGAGTTCGTAGCTTATGAAAACGCCATTCGTTTTACATGATTTAAACTTTCATGATTTTTGACAATTGTCAAAAACTATGCCAAAAGGTTATTTGACATGACGGTTAAAACAAGATAAAACCGTCAATTGTCAAAAACTTTCCAACCCTGCCTAATTATATTTTTTTAAAGTGCTTAAAAATATTTTTTGAGTGCTTGAAAAGTGCTTAAAAGGTGCTTGTTTTTTGTTGAATAATTTGGCTACGCACCCTGTAATATGTTTTGATTTTTTAAAAAAAAAATTTTTCCTTTACGATTTCCTTTTAATAATTCTTTTTTTTTATTTTCTAAATAACCCACAATGTTATTATAATTAAAATTGAAACTAATGATATGTGTCAATTGAAACTAATGATATATTCTTTTGAACTTACATTTTCTGATAGTCGCCGAAAAGTGTTGAGTCGAATTCAACATCTTCGCGCTATTGGTCGTAAAAAAAGCCTCTTTAAAAATATTTTCCGGAGTCAAAAAAAAAAAGTTTACAAAGCTCAGTTTAGCATATAAATGCAAATACTACCTTTAGGTTATGTTCGTATTTTTATTAAATGACATAGACGTGGCAGAGATGTTTTCTCTCTTCTTTCGTTTGTTTATAATATTATAGGGTCCTTTTGTATTCTAAAAAACGGGGAAAATACGAATTCCTTTTTCCTTTTCGGAATTATATAAATAAATTACGTCGAAAAATGCTGAAAATTAAACTTTAAAATTTTTATAACTTCAAAAACTTATTTGAAATTCTAAGAAACGTTATAGATATTTTTAAATTTTTTTTCACAAAACTATACACATTAAAGTTTGCAAATAATTATTCACGCAAAGGAAAAAAAAATTCCCAAATCTAACAAATTACTATTAAGGAAGGTGGAAACGAAAATTCTCAAACCATTTTGTTTGCACAATGAAACTTGACGTGTCCTCTGAACCTCTCAACTCCTCTTTGTTTCCTCCTGCAATCAAACAGGTTTTTGTGCTTTTTAATTTTGTAGTGTATCTACCACTACGAAAGTACAAATCAAATTCACTAGTATATAAGACATGTTAACTCGTTTCTATGGTGGGGGTACCTTTTCATAGATGACGAGTTATCATGTCTTATATACTAGTGAATTTGATTTGTACTTTCGTAGTGGTAGACACATTGTCCTCCTCACGCTGTTGCTTTTCAGTTTCGACCACACACAACTTATTCACTCGACTGCTAATGGCAACACCGACCACGACCGTGAACTTAATACAGCTCTCCCGGCTTCTCACTAAATAGCATTAAATCAACTAGTGGTACTCGTTCATTGAATTCTATCACAAATATAATTCTGGTGGGGGAGTACTGTAGTGTGTCTACCACTACGAAAGTACAAATCAAATTCACTAGTATATAAGACATGTTAACTCGTTTCTATGGTGGGGGTACCTTTTCATAGATGACGGTTGACATTGTCGATAACAACTCACCCCACAAATTTCACTTCCTTTAATAGTGATTCGTCAAATTTTGATAATGATTCCTTTTTTCCTAGCTTTTGCGATCCCTAGTCATAGTCGCATTCATTTTTAAGGAGATTTGCAAAAGTATATATGAAGGTGTCGATTTAAGGCGTCCTATTTATATATTTGTGTGTATATTGCTGAATTATTACTATTTCCAACTAATTGATTGAAATGTTTCTTTCAGAAAAAGCACATAAGAAATATGGTGACATGAAAGGAGACTTGATTTTTGTTCACTTGATTAAAGGGTCCAATAAATTAGGCCTTAGTTTAGCTGGCAACAAAGATCGCACAAAAATGAGTGTCTTCGTTTGTGGAATGCATCCAAAAGGATTAGCTTTCAAAGATAGCCGCATCAAGATCGGCGATGAACTTCTCGAGGTATTGTTTTAGAAATATTCTATATAGATTATTTTATTATTCACTAGCTGGTTCACTTCGTGGCTCAAAAACCACATTGTTATTCGCCTGCATGAATTCGATGCTTCGTGGTTTTATGTTGGTACTTGCACTCCAAATTTTATTGTTTACAGTTAACAGTTGTTAATTGTTTAACGATTGAATTTTCGATTGATTCAATTCATAATTTTCACGTGATATCAATATTTTTTATTTAATTAAAATTCTACATCAGTTTTGAATATTTCTGCCGGAAAATTATACTACAATAAAGCAGTTAAAATCTTAAAGACTAATATAAAACAACTCACGATTTTTACAAACTTAGGGAACATTCCTGCTGCATGTGGTTTGATCGTTCTATTTAAAATTCACCAATCAAATTCTCAATTTCTAAATGTTTATTCTATATGAATTTTTATTTTGTTGAAAAAGTGAAAAAAAAATATTGCCAATGCAGCGTTGGAAAATATTTTGCATTAAAATGAGTTCGTCTTCAGAAACTTTAAATTCTACACAAAATCGTTTATTTGTAACAAAAAGAGAAGGGAAGAATATCTCCACTCTTCTCTTATGATAAAAACCGATTAATCTTTACAGTTTGTTTTCAAACGCCACCCTCAGAATAGTTTGAAGCGGTCTCCAAAAGCTCCAACTGACTCGATTTCTGCGAGGAATTTCGGTTCTAAAATTATTAAATTGAACAGGTAAAGCAATGAGTTTATAAATACCCGTTTCGAAATTTTACTACCGGTTTTTTCAGTTTTTCTAAAGCCGCTAGTCAGCTTAGTTATGCTTCTTCCGATTGCATAATATGCAGTCTCCTAAAAAGTTGGTCATAACTCCTAGAAATTTTGAACTTTTGTAGAACATTGAGTTTTATACTCTTTAATCATATGTCTTCCAGGCAATTGAACCAAAAGTTCATCATGTTTGTACTTATCGTTTGATAGGAAATTCATTTTGTTCTTCACTCTTTTTTTGTGGTCCGATAAGGATTAAAAAAAAAAGTAATAATATATTTTAGAAATTTAAATTACAGAATGTAAGATATAATGTCCCGCAGTGGACTGATCGTTAGGACGCGGTTCCTAGCAGATCACCGAAGTCAAGAATCACTCTCTACGATCAGTGTGCCGGTGGGTGACCACTTGGATTAGTCTGCGCAGGGACCGAGGGTGTGCGGTAGTGATCTTTGTTAAACTGTTCTACCGTAAAGTGCTCGACTTCGCGTGCAGATCGTTGGGCTACCGAAGCGGGGGTGCCATCCCCTCTGCAGAGGATCAAAATTTTGATGCCTTCGGATCATCCTCAGGGATGTTTCCCAGACTGTCGCCAATAGCCCATTGTGCGACCATCTTCGATATTTATAATTGAAATTCTTGGCTAGAGAACATGTAAGCTGGTGTTTTGAAAAATCTCACATCACATTTTTGAGCTTGTTGTATGAAATCTACTACTCATAGTTTATTCTCTGAGCACTTAAGTGAAGCTGTTTTTAATAAATATCTGTGTAAAAAACAGTGTGACCGACAGGAAAAAGCACAGGTAACTGACATGGCAACAAAAAAAAATTTCTCAACGTTCAACAATTGTCAGAATGAACTTAGGAATGCCCGCCAAATCGCTGTGCTCCGTTTCTTATATGAATTACTTAGGAAAAAAGTTGTAATAAACTTCCTCGTTACGTGTTACCTCATAATTAAAAGAAAAAATTACGTACTTTAAATGGTTCTCATCATGGACGTCATACTGCTTGAAGGGAATAACTTTTATGATAATAATTTCCAAGAAATGCTTAACATATAATCGCAAAAAGACAGTCTTCAACAGAAGAGGGAATAATAATGAAAACGAAAGAATGTTAGCGAGTATTAATAGCGAAAAGGATTTGATTTTAATTAAAAAAGATAGAGATTTTAAATTAGGAATTAATATAAAAGGATTTATTAAAGGCTTTTTTTATTATTATGGGCATCATAAAGCATGATGTGTCTAACTTTTTAATTCATTTCCACCTAACGCTATGAGCTAGGAAATAAAATTTTGAAGAAATCATATGTTTGAAAAATGACTTCTTAGGCGAAAATTATAATACAGGGTGTCTCAGTTAAGCGTTTCAGAACTTCTAAGAGGGGTAGGGGGCATCCTGACGACTCGAAATCATATAGCAATGTGGGGTCGGAAATGCTTTCCTGAAGCGGTGAGGTACCTAGAAGCACCATAAAGAAAAGAGACCGTAAGTGAAAAATCGCCATAATAATACATTGAAAAAATTATATGGCCTCCTCGGTCACCCGACCTATCATGTCTTGATTTCTGGAGTCATATGAAAACACTGGTTTATGTGACACCCCTGTTGATAATGCTGGTTGCAAGAATCGCAGTAGCTGCCTGCGAGATATGCTTGGAGTATTGCAGAATGTTCGAATGTCCATGCACCGGAGATGTGAGGTGCACATTGTAGCCGGTGGCAGAAACTTCGAACACTTACTTCGGCCCATGTACCATATAATTTTTTCAATGTATTATTATAGCGATTTTTCACTTACTGTCTCTTTTCTTTATGGTGCTTCTGTGTACGTCACCGCTTCAGGAAAGCATTTCCGACCCCACATTGCTATATGATTTCGAGTCGTCAGGATGCCCCCTACCCCTCTTAGAAGTTATGAAACGCTTAACTGAGACACCCTGTATATATCAATGACTTGCAGTTGGCAGATTAACTTAAAATTTTGCTCGAAATGCCTTTATTAGTGCTGTCAATTTAGCAGACATTTTCACACCAAACCATTATTCAGGTGTTTTAAATGGAAGTTGCGCAATATAATTTATATTATTCTGACTGTCAATATTTTATTGTTGTTGTTGTTGTTACTTTACGTCGCACTAGAGCTGCACAATGGGCTATTGGCGACGGTCTAGGAAACATCCCGGAGGATGATCCGAAGACACGCCATCACAATTTTGATCCTCTGCGGAGGGGATGGCACCCCCGTTTCGGTAGTCCGGCGACCTGCGCGCGAAGTCGAGCACTTTACGGTAGCACAGTTTAACGAGGACCAATACCGCACACCCTCGGTCCCTACGCAGACTGATCCAAGTGGTCACCCACCCGCACACTGACCGTAGCCAGTGATGCTTGACTTCGGTGATCTGCTGGGAACCGTGTCTTAACGATCAGTCCACTGCGGGAGTCAATATTTTAATTTATAACATTCATTCTGACTAATGTTCTTGTAGATTTATTCTTGTAAATCATTAGTATCACTTATTTAGTTTATTAAGTTTGTTTAGGAATGAAGTATTACACTTAGTTTTATTTTATATTTTATAACCGTCGTTGAACAGCCGACCCAAGCTTTGAGTTTACGACTAGCAATGTTCAACTCCGTAGCATTGTTGTTATTTTAAACCCATCCCAGAAGATAAAGAAACTTCTGGATCAAACATTGGGTGAAATTTGCTTTCGTGGTGAACTTTTTGATGGAACTAACACACACACACACACACACACACATATATATATATATATATATATATATATATATGTGTGTGTGTGTGTGTGTGTGTGTGTGTGTGTGTGTGTGTAC